CGGAGCAACGACATCATGCTCACGCTCAGTCAGCCAGGTATCGACTTCGTCGACAATGGGTTGTAGTCTCGCGCTCGTGCTGGTCCGAGCAATGCCACCAAGACTCCGTCTGCCAATTGTGAGACTGGGTCTTGAGAAGCTGAGTCGGCCACCGCTGATCTGGTCCGCGGCTTCACTTTTGCGGCGAAGAGCCTCTTGTGCTTCGAGACTCTTCCGCCTATTGACTCGATCTTCGATGTGGTTGATTTTCTCTCGGGCGAGCTTTGCTAAACGAAGACGCTCCATCACAATAGTGTCGGCGCCCTTACAGACGATGGCGACTCGTCCAGTGGGGAAACGAACTACCACCGACATGCGCTTCCTTTTGCTGGAGAACTCAATCACGTCAAGTATCTCGTAGTCTTCCAGCACGGGTTCTGACTCCTTTCCTTGAGGATACGTCTTGATAGTCAAAATTCCCGAGTCGCGATTCCAGACGATAAAATCAAGCTCAGTGGCTGCTCGCAGGAGAGCGAGCTCGTCAGGCGACGAAGCCTGGTACTCTACAGAGCCATCCTCCTCCCTCTCTGGCAGACAAGTGTGGCACAATGCAATTGAAAGCAGAAACATCCTCGCCTTTTTCGCAAAGATGGTAAACGGTCTTCGCTGAATGTAGTCAATCATGATGCTGGTGCTCATCTCGGGCTGAGCCTTGTCGGGGCGTGCAGAGGACTGCCAGTTGGACGTTGATTTTCTAGGCAGCTTGCCCGGCTGAGGTTCGTCTTCTTCTTCCAACGATGGTGTCTTGGGGCTTGGGACATCGTCTTGGAGTGGATAATTGAGGGACATGCGATTATGCTTTGCCGGTTTCTTGCCTTTGCTCTTCTTGTTCTTTCGCTTCTTGTGTCGAAGCGGTGCCTCACGACTGCTGGCATCCACCAAGTCGACATCGTGAAGCCATGAGGTACCAGCGACGCTGATTTTGCGGAACTTCATCATGTTGTCTGTTAGAGTACCAGTCTTGTCCGTAAAGATGTAGCTGACTTGTCCCAATTCTTCGTTGATGGTTGATGTTCTTGCCTCGAAGGGAGTGTTGGTAACCTCATCGTACATGTCGACGTCGTTCAATAGAAGCATCTGACATAGTTTGACGATCTCCAAGCTGACATATAGTGATAGGGGAATCATGGTGTTGAACAAGATGACAAAACTAACAAGGATTTGGAAGAAGCCCACAGTCGCAGAATGTAAATACCAGGAATTCTCCTCGACGCGACTTCTCCAGACCTGGTAAGCGATGGTATTGAACAATGCCAGTGCGATGACGAAAACGACAACGACAATAACGACCTTGTTGACAACAAATTGGAGATGCGGCGCCTTGATTCGAGGGTTCTTGTTGGAGTTCATTCTGATTTTACATTCTTCACCAGTGTAGATGATTATACCTGTGGCCTGAGGAGTGTTTCTGAGGATGCTGCCACGGTAGATTATCTCATTGTTTGTCAGGGGACCAGTCTTGTCTCCGCAGATGACTTTGCCTTCGAAATTGTAGAGATCCAAGTTAGGATCCTCCACAACAAAGTGCGCACCCGAAGTTGCAATGGCTTTTGGCGAACCACAAACTTTGCCGAGGTGCGGATGGACTTGTTTGCTTTTGAGATTAGTTTCGCCGTCTAGAGCCATGGTCTCTATATTGGCAATGCCGTTCACACCTGCGCTGTGAAGTAGTATCAAATCTGCGGGTACCGCCTCGTCTCTGTCGAGCTTGACAACGTCACCCACTTTGAGATCCTGCCACTTGACTTTTTCCCAGTACTTTGAGTCATCTTGCTCATTTGAGTCGTGGGGAATATCTTGCATCTGACCTGCATCCGATCGTAGGATTGTGGCCTCTTGGTTGTTCTCCGTCTTGTCTAGACGGTATCTTCGCATATCGTCATAGCCTTCTTTAAACATGGAAACGCTAACAAAGAAAAGCAATGGCACGACCGTGGTATACGTGCCAGTGGTGCTGAGACCGGGTATCATTTGAAGAATGGAGACTAGAAGGAAATAGAAATTGGCCAATTTGGAAAATTGAGCCCACAGCTGTCGTGGGAGGAAATTCCATGGTGTATATCGACTGGATCTGATCGTGTTGCTGACATATTGCCGCCCAGTCCGTATATCCAGAAGCATATCTTTGCCCGACGGGTCCAGATCGATGTGTCGGCCATCTTTACTTGGCGGAATTTCGTTGATCCTCAGGATGGTCTTGCGAGCCTTGTTGTAGGCAGCTTTGATTTTTCGCCAAGTCGCATTTCTGGCTGTTCTCCTCCGCTGCCAATTGGAGTAATTCGGTAAGGCAGGCAGGTTTCCTTCTAAGTCCGCAAGACCTTTCTTCTTAGTGCCGAGATCGTTCTCTTTCTGGTCTTGCGGGCCAAGTGGCTGTACTTCCACCGTCTCCAGGCTCTTTCTGTCGGCAAAAGTACGAGCAGGAGTTGCAACAGGACCGGAAGAGTCGGAAGCTGCAACGTCGTACATCTCGATAACGCCTCCATCATCGTCGGTCGCATCCCTCTCGCGCATGTTTCGGTGGAATAGGGTGCTACGCAGCGACAATCCACGATGCCTTCCGGCCGCTGGGGGAGACCGTATGTGGTCCAAATTTGATGGTCCCACACTGACGGGCGATTCAACAACGCTGCCACCCAGAACATTTTGCCCATGAACCTCCGAATTTGCCGAGAAGGTGTTTATGGACAGGTTCGGAGAAGTAGGATCTCTTCTCGCACCGGATCCCTGAAATTGGGGGACAATCTCATCACTGTTCTTATGCTTCAAGGCTTTTCGCTCGACGTCAAGCGAGAAGCGTACTCGAGGACTAGCTTCCTGTTGTGCATTTCGAGGACTTCTAGGCACATCGGCACCAGAGGTCTTCATGCTAGGCTGAGATGTGTGTGAAGAGTCGCTAGCGGAGCGTTGTGGTGAATTGCTGGTCGTGTTTCCCGATGCATTACCAGATTGTGTCGCAACGCCGAGCTCGCTGTCGGATAGGTCTGGATCTATGGCATGGGCGCTGTGTCTCCTGCGAATCCTGGACATGTCTTCATCGGACGTGTGGTCCGCATGGTCGCGCGCCATATTGAAGACAGGGGGTTATGCGATGTTATCCTCGCAGCGGTTGCCAAGAGCTGCCGTATTCCATTGGAGCGAGCCGGAAAGGGCCTGCTGAGGAGTCGAGGACGGTGATACTGTCAAGCGCTTGGATTAACGAGTGTGGTGTGCTATTGCAAGAAGACGGACTGGAGATGAGTGGATGTTGAGTTGCGGAATCGAATGGGCAGATCGGGAGGGTCACTTTGCTGAGATGACCGAGTCGAAGGCGGCTGTGTGGAGTCAGCGGTGGGGAACCACCCGGCGCACGCAGGTTGGCGGGCGGTTCAAGGTACTTTGTGCTAAAAGGGTGTGCCGTTCAGGGCGAATTCCACGACTATGTGCCAGCTTTTTGTTGCTCCAATGGCAATCTAGAGCAAACCCACGCGCTGAATGTCAATGAGCGAGCGTAACTGCGAGACTGGCTGGTGGCCTGACAAAAGGGAAAAGTTGTGGCGACGTCAATGCCACGAGGCTTCCGGACAGCAAAGCGGGGGAGCGCGGGAATGGCTACAAACACATCAGGCGGACACTGGTAGGATTCGTAACCACCGAGAGGATCACGCAGATGCCAGAACAAAAGCTGAACTACGCAGGGTATACGGCGTTGTCGCCAAAAAAAATATTGTCTATGGTGGAAGCCAAAAATACTACGATTTGAGGTCGCGGCACGAATACTACGGGCGGAGCATTCGGAAACGAAAAAAAGTGTTTGTTAACGCCTGCCGACAGGCAAGAAACGGGCTGTGCAAAGCATCCAGGGGACCCAACTGCCACAAAAGCCTAGATCGGAAACACGCGCTGCTGGTCCGTGTCCCTTTTCGTATCTTGTCACCCGATGGTTCGCATGACCCTGCAAGGCACTGCTGAACTAGATACCGCTTTGCTGCTGGAACCTTGCAGCAAGCTCCGCACAATGGTGGTCAATCTCGACAGGCTTACTCGCGTACGGATTATGACTTGACTCCATGTCTACAGTGATCCATTCTTGGCCAATTTGCGCCATCATTGCATTCTGCGCGACGAGTGAAAAAGCTTTGTCCTCGAGGCATCGGGATATACTAGTCGTCCTTGATAGTCGACTTCCGCCCATGGCCGGCTCCCCGGTACTGCTCCACCACGCCTTCATAGCCTGCGGTTGGAGCGTTTTAGCAATGTCAAAAGCACGATCTTGTCCTACGACCGCGAAAAGAATTTTGCTAGGGTCGTATGCACTACAGACTCCCTTATAAGGCTTTGTGGGCCCAGATGTCAGCTTCGTGGATCGTTTGCAAGCTAAATCGCTGCCCTGCCACACGTACATCGTCGACCCGAGTATATGCAGAGGGCTTTCCTTCAGTGAGCGAGTATGAATCTCCAACCTCCGGCGCTGTACATGCCGAAACGTAGATTAGGCCGATGACTCCGTCGGGTTTGTACTGTTTTTGGTGATGTGTTTTGCTGAAGCCCACAGCAGCAGCGGCTGCTGGGATTGTGCCGTAGGAATGCGCAATGAGAGTCACATCACTGCCGGCGTTGATGAGGGTTTATAAGTGCCTCGCGTACATTTCGTGTATCGTCTGTTATTGTCCCCTTGACTCGATCATTCAATCCCGCCGACGGATTAGTCAATGCCCTTGCTTCGCAACCCAGATGTCTAAGTTGTATCGATATCCAATGAATGTGATTGTTCGACGTACCAGAAATCGGGCACCAAAATAAAAGTGGTCTTTGACGACACTTCTTGAGGCTATCTATAAGTTGACAAGTACAGTTGGCATCAGACAGAAGATTGTTTTCAGCATTATCATCTACTGGCGCGGTATTGAGTTGGCTCTTCATGGCTGCGTAGAACTAAAGTTATTGGGTATATATATTATTCGAGTGCCTAACCTTTTATCTAAGCATCAGTGGTTTAGTGGTAAAATCCATCGTTGCCAATTTCGAAAGAAACAACGTCGATGGGCCCCGTGTTCGATTCACGGCTGATGCAATTTTTGATGATTATTTTTGCACCCAGCTGTCCTGCTATCAGACCACAACGCTCGGACAACTTTTAATGAGGCAGTGGACTTCATTGTGATCGAGCAATATTTTGCTAATGATTCTATTGTCTGTACAAGCGGACCGAGGGGATGGTGCTGATTTTTGATTTGAAGACCAAGGTTTTCAGTGATGATTTGATGGGTTCCCACCAAGGTTGGAACACCTCGCAGAACATGGGCACATGGCCACATCCACTCACGCGCGACAGACACTCCTGTCGTATCATGTTCTACAGGCTCCCTTTCCCGTCCTCGGCGACGTATGTCAAAGGCTATTCGCATAACATTTGCGCCATACCAGCAAGCGATCTTTGTGTACCGCGCGGACTTCCCAATAGGTCACAAGTATATGCAATCACCATAGGGCACAATGAAGGTCTACAGTACTATGCTGCTTGCCGTTTGATAGCTGTGATTTGCGGCTCGTTGTATTGGCAAATCAAGGGCACGCCCCTATTCGACTGTTTGCTTTGCCAGACAGTTTGCGGAACCATTGGCTCACAAAGCGACTATATGTCGGCATGCCTCTGGCTTTGGGGAACAGTTCATCTCCTCCAAGCCGGCCGGAATTAAAAGACCTAGCGGGCCCTCCTTTCTGCCGTTCTTCTTGCAATCGATGAGTTTGATGAGTTTAATGAGTATATGTCATATCGGACTGATAGCGCGAAGAACGACCGTTTTGCGACGACGAAATGAGGCCGCACGTTTGACAGGTGAGCCGCCGACGTTCAGTACATCACCGCAGCAACCAGGAGAACGTAGTTGTTCTTTATATCCGGCCAGGCTAATGAGCAACTACATTGACACTTGACGTCCATTACACGAATTTGAGATGGGAATCGCAAGCTGGTCTTGATGATGAGCAGAGTGATTGTCTTTCCAGCCGAGCCCAGCATGTGTGATAAAAATGTGCGCCTTTCCAAGGCGTAATTAAACCACGGGCGCGCTAGGCGGACAGAGTGCCAATGAGAAGGCGCGTGGCTCATGTCGGCGTCAGGAACAGACGGGGATCAGCAGGGCCAACTCACTCGCGAGCTGTTGGCCGGAGCTTAGCTGAACTCAAGAGGAAGGTCACTTTCTGGTCTTGCGGGCCTGTCGCGATCCCTGCACGGGGTGGCATCCCGACCTCACGCCCCCCCCCATCGCTATACCACTCCTCAAATTCGCCCGTTTCACCGTCTGTTTTTACCCTCATTCCACTCCACGTTCTCTCAATTTATGCCTTGTCTATCGCGCTGTCATCGCGCAGGTGTCACTCCGAACCTTAGTCACTCATTGTCGAATCTCAATCACAATATCTTCGTGCTGACCGTTGACCGCTTTCTATTCGCTGATTAAACCAGTTCACTCGTTTATTTCACCCTTTTGCGCTCGTTTGCCGGTCTGTTTGGCCTGGACGCCGGCTCGATTGCCATCCATAGGACGTGCAACTTCCACCTACTCGCACGACCTTTGCGCTCCGACCTGCGCTCTTACACTCTCTCTCCTACCTCACACAATCATCCACAGCATTATCGATCTAGACGACTACGACGAACAGCACCAATGGTGCACCTTCATCTTCACGACCTCTTCCACCGCCACGGTCGGCGCGATGGCCTCCCACAAGACGGTCAGGTGTCGCACGGTGGAAATGTCCTGCAAAAGATGTCCGGTCAAGAGAATGCCGAATCCGGTATTTCCACCGTGGTATCCGTGATCTATGTGACCGAGTCGGCGACTTTCACTGGACCTACCGCTGGATATATCACTCAGACAGGAGGAAGTAAGGTCACGAGCACCGTCGATCCCAAATTCACCTCAAGTGCCGCCAAAGAAAGCTCTGTCATGACCACCTCCGCCTCCACAAGATCCACGGTGACGCCTACAGTGGCTGTCGGAACCCCTGTGCAAGCCACGAACGCAGCAGCAGTCTCCTCGACCAGCTCGCCTACTTCTACTACCGCAGGATCTGGTGGAAAGCTGAGCATTGGACCCCTGATTGGCATAGCCCTTGCCGGCTTTGTCGTGATAGCTCTTGTGGCTGGCGCTGCAATCTTCTTTCTGAGGAAGAAGAAGAGGCAGCAGAAGGAGTCGCAATCGCACAACTTGGACAATGAGAAGACAAACTTTGGCTTCAATTCGTCTCCCAAACAGGACAGTCGCGCTCCTCGACTCAGCCTACGTCCAGTCACTCAATTCCTTCCGACCTTGATTGAAACAAAAACAGACAACAGTCGTGCTCCACGACTCAGCCTGCGTCCCGTCACCCAATTCCTGCCGACCTTGACCGAATCCAAAGTCACAGAAATCACGAGTGCCACAGGCGGCCTGGACAGTTTCCCTGCACCCTCCCAATCCCAAGCGTCTTATAACCCTAGGGACCGTCGCTCTATTCAGAACAAGAACGACGCAGTCGCCGCGCGGCTCAGCGCTGCCGCGACTGAAAAGGCAGCAGAGAATGCACCAATTCCTGTATTCCCTTCCTCACCCAAGCCCGCACTCGCCCCCGTTCTCGTTTCCGATCCTTTCGCTGATAGACAGATTGACTCTCGTCCTGTATCACGCGACGATTCCCGGCCTACGACAGCAATGAGCTATGAGCCTATTGAAGAGACTGCGCAAACCACACGGAATCCACCTAGTCCAAACTCTCAACAGAATACTGTCCATCGCGTACAACTTGACTTTAAACCGTCCATGGATGACGAGCTGGAGTTGCGTGCCGGTCAGGTCGTGAGGATCGTGCATGAGTATGATGACGGCTGGGTAAGCTAACATTTCCTTTCTCTTCGGAGCGTCGTTCTAATTGTTTCCAGGCACTCTGCATGTACATGGATCGCTCAAAGCAAGGTGTCGCACCGCGAACGTGCTTATCTAAACTCGCGCTGAAGCCCCGACCAAATGGTCCACCGCCCGGTATGGCTCCGCTACGTCCTCAGTCGCCCGCTCTTCGTCAATTCTCCGGCTCGTCTCTGTCTGACCCGCGGGATCCTCTTCTTCCTGCGCCACTCTCACCTGGCCTTCCTACGTTGAACTCCCTCAATGACATGCAAACAATTCTACCGCCTGGAGGACGTCAGCGAGCGCAGTCCAATGCCCCTGCCTTACCCAGCAGCCCAACCGCGCCCAATGATCATCCGAGATCGGCGTCCACGGGCCAATCCGGCCTCAGTCCCACGGGAAGTCCAGTGAGGAAACCGGTCCCGGGACAAGCTATATGATCGGAGAACGTTAGGCGTTACAATACGAATGATGGGAACGTACTTCAACAGGAATATCAACCTGCGGCCAATACTGGCAATGACGATTTACGCATCAGACTTTGACGGGGGATGATGGACTCGGCGTTTTAACCAATCTAACTTTTTGCTTTCTGGCTCACCCAGTACGAATACCCCCCGGAACCTCAGAGCTTCCGATTCACTTCTTTTTCAGTCACCTGCCTGGTGAAGAGGCCTCTGCCGCAATTTTCGAGAGGTCGTGGATTCGCATGTAAATAAGTCGGGCTGCTGGAAATGTCTGTCCGACTTGTGATTGTGTTTAGGTAGAAGATATCATTTAGACGAATGGATAATACATATAAAAACTAGCACACTCTGACCTTGTTTCGTCAATCTCTGTTTGTAGAGTCTGCTGGGTGATGGTTGTTAAAATCTGCCAAGCCGGGGCAGGCTGGAATCGCCACTACGTCTTCATTCGTTCTTCGCCTCGCGCTTCTCATCCACTTAAGTTTGTTCGGCGTCAGACGTACAAGATATGCAAAGGGCAGCAAAAGTCGTCCGACGCGATGTCTTCGCACGTGGAAGCACCGCTTTGCACTGGACGGTCAACACGCACCGTCGTGGATACGCCTCTGTGGCAGCGCTGGACGCTTTGCCCAAACCAGGAGATCAACTACATGGCTTCTCCGTCGCACGCACGAAAAATGTACCGGAGCTAGAGTTGACCGCAGTTGAGATGCGGCATAATGAGACTGGAGCGCAGTATCTTCACATCGCACGCGATGATCAGAATAATGTTTTTTCCATTGGCTTCAAGACCAACCCCCCGGATGCTACAGGAGTACCACATATCCTGGAACACACCACACTTTGCGGCAGTGAGAAATATCCTGTTCGGGACCCGTTTTTCAAGATGTTGCCGCGCTCACTCTCGAATTTCATGAACGCGTTCACGTCGGCCGATCATACGACATATCCGTTCGCCACCACGAACGCCCAGGATTTTTCGAATCTCCTGTCTGTGTATATGGATGCGACTTTGCGGCCACTGTTGAAGGAGCACGACTACACACAAGAGGGTTGGCGTCTTGGCCCCGAGAATCCCCTTGACGAAAGTGCAGACTCCAAAGACATCATCTTCAAGGGTGTCGTATATAACGAAATGAAGGGTCAAATGTCTGATGCGAGCTATCTCTACTACATTAGATTCTATGAGCACTTCTTCCCTTCTATTAATAATTCTGGTGGCGATCCCCAGAAGATGACAGACTTGTCCTATGATCAGCTGAAGAAGTTCCACCAGGATCATTACCATCCAAGCAACGCAAGGATACTCACATACGGCAATCTACCCTTAGCTAGTCACCTGGAATCTATAAATCAACAGCTGATTGGGTTTAAGGCCATCAAGCCTGACAACGATGTAAAGGCCCCACGCGATCTGGCGAATGGACCGCATGAGGTCACCCTTCCCGGCCCGGTGGACCCGCTCTCCCCTGCTGATGGCCAGTACAAGACTTCGGTATCATGGTTGATGGGTGAGACTTCCAACGTGGTCGAGAATTTCTCGCTGTCTTTAGTGGCTTCATTACTTATGGATGGGTATGGCTCGCCATTATATCGGAATTTGATCGAAGCTGGCCTCGGGACTGATTACTCGCCGAATTCAGGATACGACGGATCGTCCAAACGAGCAATCTTTTCCGTCGGGCTCAATGGAGTAAAGCAGGAGAATGTGGCGAAAG